AATATAGCTGCATCACACTTATGTGTCTGTCAATATAGCTGCATCACACTTATGTGTCAGTCAATATAGCTGCATCACACTTATGTGTCTGTCAATATGGCTGCATCACATTTATGTGTCAGTCAATATAGCTGCATCACATTTATGTGTCGGTCAATATAGCTGCATCACATTTATGTGTCGGTCAATATGGCTGCATCACACTTATGTGTCAGTCAATATGGCTGCATCACATTTATGTGTCAGTCAATATGGCTGCATCACATTTATGTGTCAGTCAATATGGCTGCATCACACTTCACATGAACTGCATTTATTTGCGAACGAAACTCTTCAACGAACTGATAAATACATAAACTTATAGAACTGACCCATAGTTGAGGATGAACTAAAAACTGGAACACAACTACCGTTTAACTTTTAAAAGTGAAATAGAATATTACAGCGTTTTCCATGCAGACTGAGATTAACCAATGAGTGACTGCATTCTGAATCAATAATGGAATGTCAGTCAACACCTATGGCTTATTATGATTTCAACGATAATATAGCTGCATCACACTTATGTGTTGGTCAATATAGCCCCAGCAAAGTGTTTAGAATTTTTGTTTTTTCGTTTTTCCACTTAAAGTCAGTAATTAAGAATTTGGTGAATCAGTGAATGGGTAGTGGGAGCCCTGCTATTAGGCCATCAGTGGGGACATTATCGTAAATAAAATGAAAATGAAGATAACAGAATAAAAGTGTTCATATCAAATTACAAAGACACTAAGTCATTCGGCTTTCAGATAATTGTTACCCCATACCTTATGATGTTACCGAGTCACTGTGTTACTTTAGTTATCCTCGGTGCAATGAATGAATGCCTTGTTCTGTGATATAAAATAAAGTTGTCGGGTTACAGTCAGGTGGACGCCGTATATCGTAATTAAATTGTGTTGTCATGCGTGGTGTGTGCTGTGGTATACTGTGGTATGGTTTCCTGCCACTGTGACAATAAAGTCACGAAAGTACTGAGAAATAAATAAGTACTCAATTCACTTGTTCAGGTTACAAAACCTTGATTCTATTAACAGAATTTAAAAGCATGGGTTCTTACTGGGAACATAAGTACATTCTGCATTAACTTGAGTAGGTACTGGGGGATTAATAAAGTAAATGCATTAATCCAGGTATTTCTTCCTTATTTGGAATTTGTGCATCACATTTTGGTGACTTAAAAATATTAAACAAATATTGTTTAAATATTGTAAACAAATATTGTTTACATTGAATGCAGAAATTATGATAACGCACATGTCAAAAACAAATTAGGTCAGTGAACACAAACCATGGTGATTGTAAATACTTTTGTAAACGCTTTTTTGCTTGCATGTTAATTAATAATTTATTACTCACCAACCTATGAGTACAAGGTGCTACGCAATACCACGAGTAGAACTCGATAACATTGGCCTCCGCTTTTGTGGTATTTTCGTAACTTTTGTAATTAAATTAAAAATTTTGACAACAAAATTCAAATAGTTTGAAATTATTTTTATAATTTCTTTCTAACTTCAGATGCTGCAACCAAGAACATCGATTGAAAATTCTCACCGAATCACCGTTAACTTCCATAAATGGAAATATTCTTTTTGGAGACGACCAGTAACCCTCAAGTGAAATCCTTTTCCAGTATGTGCTATTTTTTTCGCACATTCGTCTCACGTCTGCTCTCCTTTCAATTGTTTTTCCACGAAATCTAACGTGTTCCAGTCATTGTAGTTCGAATCATACATGTGCTGGTACTTTGTCAAACATTTCGTCAACAACATGGCTCGTAGGACGCGAATGCCAGTACCGATCCGAATAGCCATTTTCTTGATGGTCGTTATTGTCTGCTACGTATGCTATAAAATCATACACTTTATTAATGTTAACAGCGACTCTGTATCGATAAAGAGAGTGTACGATGGACAAAGCCGCTCTGATATCTTGCCAGTTTCTCCAAATGACAAACAAAATCGAGGAGACATGTACGTGGTTGATGAAAACTACAAGTACATGGAAAACGAAAAACTGCATCGGTTAGATTCACAATCACAAGATGTGACTGCTGATAATAAAGAATCGTTCACAGATTCTGATTCGGACCAGTATTCAGATGTTGATTCCAAGGACCCGCAAAGACTCCGGTACATATCCACGGTTCCAGAATCGCCGTTTGAAGTCCAGAAATGTCCTGTGTGCTTTGGGTCATCGCTTTGTCACCGAATTGGCAGTGGGGATGCCAAGTTTGACCTATCTGTGAAGCAGACGTCTACAAATCAGAAATTGTACCCAGGATTATACAAGCACGTGAAGGTGACCGGGAAAAGGCTTGGGACCAATGCCGAGTTTCAGAAACTTGATAATTTTATCTGTGTGAATACGAGTCAGGAGGTCAACTGTGACGTGGGAGACGCTGTTGTTATGACTTATCTTGCCAGTGATGAAGCGTTCACGGTGCCACATTTTAGAAATGAACTATGGAAGGTAGCTCACACGTCCAAAGCAGATCTCAGGTACGTGTGATTATAGTACATAGAATTCATTATGCCCAAACCAAAAACAAAACTTGTTAGTCTGAAAGCGGGATTGGTCTTGGTGCATGTGTGTGTGTGCATTCTTCTCCACTTGTATCTCAGACATGCCTGGACCAATCATGTTTAAATTTTACACATACATCATCCATCTTGGTATACAAAATGGACAGGATCTTGGCCGTAAATTGATGGATTTCGTTTAAACTTGATACAAACATCAGACATTACAGGACCTTAGATGACTAAAAAGTGGATATATGTGGTTATTCTAAATTGGAATATGTTTGTATTGGGTTTGTGAACAAAACTGATAATATGTGTGGATGTTTTATTAAAGAAGACTGGTGTTGATTGTTAAATGTGTATGATATTATGCAAATGTTCATCCCAAGTTTTATCAGCCTGACAACTCATCTTCTAACGATTTGAAGTGAACTAAAAATAAAGTAAAATCACAAAAGTTTTTTTTTTCACTGAAAAGACTTTTGGGTGTTTTGTATGGAATTTATTTTCACTGATTTTTCACGACATAAATGTGATGCAGCTCTATTTGCTTAATTTTATTTTCACTAGATCATTCCTTCAACCAAAATAGCAAAAATTAATTCCAAGCGAAAGTATTTTACAGTAGTGTAATCAAACTGCCAATAGTCAATTTCATTAAAATATTGTCGCATAGATAATATTAGCATAAATTTATGGAAAGAAGTTACCCATAGATGGAGGGGGGCATTGGAAATATCAGGTAGAAATTGGAAACTTGTAATGCACAAATCTGATTGGCTGAAATGAAAATGCTATCCCCTATAGTTTGTGGATAGTATGACTATTGTTACATTTTTATACATAATTTTCAGCAAAATAACGGTAGTGTTATCATGGCTATGCTTGCATAGTGGTGTCACTAGAGAATTAATTATGATAAGGATGTTATTTCCATTGAGAAAAAACTTAATTAAAGGCAGTTACTTGGCAATCAGATAAAAATTTTAATTAAAGGAATTGTAGACCTTTTCGTTTTCAAGACCAGTACCCACATGTACCTAGGACAATATATTTTCTGAAAGCTTTATTTTTATCTTGGCAACAGATGGATGTGTATCATATTGTTTCATGTGAAAATTTTTGAAAACGATTTTTAATTAATTAGGCCAAAAAAAATTTTTTTTGTTGCCCTCAGCGATCGACGGAAAAATATGAAATATCGGGTCACGTTTTTTTCCCATATACCTCGGCTATTTATGATACCCTTAGTTTTCACAAGTTTAAAAAAACAAAAAAAATCCAATCGACTGACCGACCCAATTTCAGACTTAAGGGCAACATAGGGTTTTTTTTTTGGCCTTATTATTAATAAATTGTTTTTGTTTATAATTTTTATTTTATTTTTAGTGCTACAGTGTGTGCAACTGACAGGTTTATTGATGAATTAAAAGAATTATATAATAAAGACAGGAAGGGAATTTTAAACGAAGAGGAACGAGCACGGTTGATGACATCACTGATTCTCAATCCCGAAGGTCTTTTGCTGAAGGCAAGTATATCATTCACTGCTGATACCAAATTTTATAATGTCATTGTGACAAATTTATTATTATAATGTACATGATTAATATTCAGTGTCGGAAAATTTGTATTCTTGGCTGCATTGCAGTGAAAACTATAATTGGATGTCTGATGTTTGATGTGATTTCGCATTGACACTGAATAAACAATAAACTTCCAAAATTATTACCGAGAGGAGGAGGGGAATTAAAACATAGTTTGATAAAGTCATCATTTCCATATTTGCATACCATCAGAAATGACGAGATCTTGCTTACCGGTATTAACCTTTTCACCACCAGACTTTCTTGTTCAAATTTGTCTGCACTTTTTTCTTATAATTCTGGAAATATTTCTGGAAATGAGCAATAATTTTGGAGCCAACAGACACAATTTTTTATTTTTTTTTTTTTTTTTTTTTTTTTTTGTGCCAGGCGACAGTTCTGGACATTGAATGTCACCGTTGTCTCTCCTGACTTTTTTTTTTTGTATGTGCAAATTGCAAGTGCTAGTGCTGACACATAGTGCATTTTGCCACAGAAGTCATATTCATGTTTGGGACTACATGACAGGGCTGTGTGGCCATCTCTCTGTCAAATGGCAATTTTAATGCGCTATCCTGGCGTCAACCAGGCTCGGTCGAACACAAGCACCTGCGGACCTTAACAAAGGTTCCCCCAAAGTCGCATTCGTTAGTGAATGAATCTCGGCCAGTGGAATTGGCCTTCCCATTGAGTCTGTGGCACACTCACCCAGGGTAGGGGTTAACCTTTTGATGTTCAGCCTAAGGTAGGATTTGAACTTGGGTCTACCGATCATGAGTCTGGAGCGACAACCACTATGCTACCAGTGACCGGTCAGACACAATTTTAGCCAATTTTCAGTTTTTACTCCAAAAAAATGTGTCTATTTTTGTTCTGAAGGAAAGTGCAGACTGTTACTATTTAAAAAAAATATGAATTTTTGTAAAGAAGGGAGGAAACTGTTTGTGAATAAGTTAAATTTGGTTAAAACAAATATTAGGGTTCAGATGTCATGTTAATCATAGTTTGTTGGCTATACTCTGTAGTTCCCAAATGTTCAGCATCGAAGTGAAAAATCAAGGTCTTTAGTCATATAAGAGATTGCTTGAACAGAACAGCTTTTACCCATAATTCAATCACCCTCTCCACTCATCCGCGCACCAGAAACTGAATTGAATATTTGAATATTTCTCACTTTGGAATTGATTAATTAAAAATATATTTTCGTTTCACTTTTAGTTCTTCTTGGAAACAGGATACGAAGAAGACATCGCTTGGCCTTTCCCACAATACATCGGGGAATGTGGACGGGTGGTCATTACAGAGCATGCTGGGAAACCATTGGTGCAGTTCCTCAATGCATCATGGGAGCAAAGGGTTGCCCTATCACTACAGTTGTTTGATATGGTTGACACTTTTCTCAAGGGAAGCTCTGATTGGTTGGTTTTGTTTGGAGATTTCCGCTTCAGTAATTTTGCAGTGACGGACACTGGTAGAGTAGTGGTGACTAATTTGAAAGACATTCTGATCGTAGATAAACAGGAAACATTAAAAGGCAAGTTGATTTTTGTATATCTTCAAAAGTTAGTAAATCATACATAGAGAATACACGTACTGTAAAATATTTAATTTTTACTAGAAAAAACATTTCAGATGTTTTGCGTGGAGTTTATTTTCACTGATTTTTAGTTCCGCTGTCGCCTTTGTCGAGCGGAGCTTATCATATGAGTGATTGTCCGTCGGCATCCGTCGTCCGTCGGCGTCCGTGTCAATGTTTTACTTTTACAACTTCTTTTTGAAAACTACAAGCCTGAATGCTTTGATGCTTGGTGTGTATGTACCTGGGGGTAAACCTCTCTTAGATTTGTTCATTTCATGATGATATCTTCAATTCTCTAATTTTGGTGAATATTTTTGGTAAAAAGTGATATTTTCGACTTCTTGTTAAAAACTACAAGTCCAATTGCTTTGATATTACATATATAGGTACTACATGCGGACCTCTCTCAGATTTGTTCATTTCGTGATGATATCTTAAATTCTCTAATTTTGGTGAATATTTTTGTAATTTTTGGTAAAAAGTTGTATATTTTCGACTTCTTGTTAAAAACCAAAAGTCCAATTGCTTTGATATTACATATATAGGTACTACATGTGGACCTTT